TATATGTGTTCATGTTACAAGCTGCCCAGCCCTGAACACCATTTTTAAATGCTACATCTAACAAGTATTTATTACATGTAAGTGTATTGAATGGAGATGAAGATGTACCATGTTTATACTAAGTCTCTGTTGTCCATCTCTTTCAGCCATGTTCAACCTTATTCCAGTGGGGCTGCGAGTGGTGGCCATCCAGGGGGTGCAGACCAAACTCTATCTGGCTATGAACAGTGAGGGCTATCTGTACACATCAGTAAGTATAATGTTTGTTTGTGTGCATGTGTGTGTATAAGATGAGGTCCTGGTGTCTGTGCACTCCAGCTGTATGCAGAGAACATTTGGTCTCTGACAGATATACAAATTACTATGGTGACATAAGCGACTGGAAGAAACTAAGTTATAAGATAAATGCTTTGAAGCTTTAGCCATTGCCTTGGTAGTTGAAGAATGGATCAGTATTTGACTGCTGTGATTTATTTATATCAATATTATTTACTCATTACCACAAAAAAAATTCAAGAAGCCCATGAAATAAGAAATTGACATCAAACATTATTCATTACACAATTCATTCATCAATGTTAATTATCATTATTTATTCTCAAACCTGGACATGTCATATGTCTGGGCTAACTTCCAAACTTGCAAAGATGTCCAGAAAGTAGGGTGCCAAATATGCCAAGGGAAACTGTCAGATCACCTAAAACAGTTAAGCTGTCTTGCCACTACTTGATGTTAGTCTTTATATTTTAATAGTTTATTTAATTTGTATTAATTGACTTAAAACTCACACAAAATCATCAAAAACCTGATGAAACAGCTGCATCATTTTCTAATGTATTTCGTTGTCAATAAAAGGTTCAAGTACTGTGTAAGCGGGTGGAGCAGCGGCATATCTGACCGTGGCAGCTGGCTATTAGTCTTTGATGAAATGTGCAAGTTTATGAATAATTCAGTTCCAGGCCGAGTAACGTTTCTGTTCGTCTTCCTTCCAAATGCCACCATTGCATTGTGTGGCAGCTGCTGCGGAGAAGACTGACAGGCTGGTTGGATCTGCACCCAGAGGGCGTGCACACACGCAGTCAATGTTGACAGACAACCCTCATAGTCAAATTTGTAAAGATCGTTCTGTGAGGTAAAGGTTTCAGTTGGCAGATTCAATGGTGATTGATAGAAACAAGCTTAGAAACAGCAAAGCAAACCTAATGATCTAGTAGCTTTTCTGCTGCTGACAAATGACCTGTTACATTCTTAGACAGTAATGTGATGAACACTGAAGGAAAACTGGCCCTCTGATCTAAATCTCTCTCTCCCCAGAGTACACAAACACACAAATGCATTAATAAATAGGGTTAATGTGCTAGCTCTTGCCAAGCATGAGTTCACTCAGATACACTTAATGTCAAAGAGCTGCAAATGGTTTATTTGGTAAAAGAAGCTCCACCCTTTGGGGAGCTTTCAATTCAACCCAAGCAGCAACAAGAATTTTGTTGAAAGAACTAAAGAACCCTGCAATGACTAAAATAATCATGAACATGAGACATTAGCAAAAG